TTACCTTTCCAGAAATACCCACTCTTAGCAATCCCCCGTCGAAAATTGAAGCTCTGTAGACGATGCAGCGACAAGCACCAAATCCGTCTCGCCTTAACCCAATCAGATCCCATGTCATTTCAGGAAATGCTATTAACCCAGATGAATCGAACTCCACATGGCGCCAATTATGAAACTAGATTAATTTCCATTTTGCCAATTTGGCCCATAACATGGAAAGATGGAAATGATTCTGTCTCTTTCCTTGCTCCCATGTTTCTTCCGCGCTAGAGACTGCTCACCTGCATACAAAGTCTTTGGGATGCAAAATGATTTCCCAGACAATATCTCCAAAGAAGAATCCCAGACGGTACACGTAAGTAATGCTGATAAACTCCATGGTATAATTGAATGATTTTCAAGTGCTGGTGCACGTACCAGCAAAGCCACTTTTGGCTTTTGTCACTAGTATGCGAGACTTCTCAAAAATCGCAAATGTCAGTAAATAAATAAAGTCTGTACCTAAATAGTCTAACCATGAATTGTTCACCACGTCCTTACCCTATTGTAATTTCATTCGTGACTTGAAGTGCATGAATATCGATTATTATTGCTGGTAAAATCGGTCATGGTCTGTAGCAGTTAGCTGAAAAAGTAGAAAGCCACTAACACAAGTGAACTGTTCCTTTCGAATATGCGAATTCGAATATGAATATGCTCTCTCGATTCGAAGAACCATCTTGGAAGAGGTTTCCTTCTTTTCATTGAATGGCGTTCTTTTATGCATGTTTGGCCGAGAATTACGATGAAAATTCTCCATCAAAAGAGAGGAAGAGCTCCGAACCAGCCGTACCTTGGAGCCAGCAGAAGGAGTTTACACTCTGCGAATGATCCACGGTTCCGGCTTTCATTTGGATTCATAGCGGTATGGCATTTTGGTGGCGCAGTTAAAAAGGATGTGGCGATTGAAAGTTGAAAAATTCATTGTTCATCATATCTCAACCTACTAGTATGATGTAAAGTTACATCGGGCGGAAGCACCCCTCGTATGTTGGAAATGGACTCACTGAAACTGGGGAGAGAGAGATACGAATCATGATGGTTGAAGAAACTTCAAAAGAGGGGACTGGAAAAAATGAGCAATACATGGAAACTCCCACTTTTATATCCATGGGGAGGAGGGAGGGGTCAGAAGGTGGGTGTTCCAGGGCGGAGGAGGAAAAAAAAGAAAGAAGAATGACCCTGTTACCCTTCAAGTCCAGGCAAGGGCTATCCTTTGGTCTTTTTTACATCCCGTCTACTTTGATTTATTATAGGGATCCTGTCCAGTCCCGCTTCCTTCCATTTTTCTTTCGTTTTCCCCAACCCTTCCCGAGGGGATCGACGTTCCTCGAGGAGACCCAGGAGAGGTTCATTTCAAATTCGGGTTCAGCCGCAGTGCAGTCGAGGTTTCGATGGGAAGTTTGGAAATTCCTCGTCATACTCTAGTTCTTCGAGGTCTCGTCGACGGTAAGAGTATTCATGGTGTAACGTCCGCGGAACTACTGTACTTACGCAGTATAGGGTAAACCTACTTAATTTTGTGATACTAAGACTCTGTTTCGTCTCGGTCGACTGAAGTTACGATGCGACTGGGACAATGAGATGACTGCAGTCATTCCATTCCTCAACTGGACTCCGAATGACCACAAACTTGAAATCAACCCAGGGGGAGGTGATGGTCTTCTGGTCCTGGGTGATGTTTTAGTTATCTGAATGAAATGTACATTTTTTTCAGTCCCCTTGTTTAACTGCACTTGACACAGTTAAAAGCTGATATCCGAGATGTCACTGGCTGCCTCAAGTGAACCTCATTTCCATGGCTCCCAATGGTCGCTCGCATACCTCCTGCCGAAATTCGGCGTGATATGGCGACCGCAGGTGAGTACATGAATATCATCGCCAACCCTTCCCTCCCGATTGACCACGATATCGATGAGGTTATCTTGTCCCACCTTAATTCAAAGCGCCCGTTTTGGACCGCCGCTAAATCCCTGCACGATGAGGCAACGTAGAGGAACGTCGGCGAGAAGCCTGGTCACATGCGGATCTAAGAAACAAGGACCTCATCGGCGACCCATCAGATCAAGTCTCTGGCTTCACACTTCTTCGTCGCGATTGGGTCACCATAAACCGTCTGGACACCTAATGCACAAGTGGCATATGAAAGACACACCAAAGTGCCAATACGGAATCCCAATACAAACCATGGAACATATTGTCAACAACCGCCTGTTGTATTCATTTTCCGGCAGCATCACAGACATACACGCTGCATCACAAGCAGCTCTTGACTGGATTCCACAAATTAATATCAGGTTCTAGTCGCCGCTATTTTCGTCATACGAAAGAAATGTCCGTGTTAATACGCGATCGAGGCGGACCTGCGTCCTGCCTAATCTGACTTTCGAGGCGGAAGATGGGACGTGCCGGATTTGATCAAAGCATCGCAGTCAGTGACCTTGCAAAAACGTTTAGGTTTCATACGTTGACTTGCATTATTTCCTCGCACATTTCGTGTGTGCGATGAGAACAATCATTTATGTACCGCTCCAGTGCACCTGACAGTTCTAAGAATCGCAGATGTGCCGAAAAAATCTCGGATTTGACTACCTCAATGAAGAAAGCTGAACGTGTCGAGCAGCCAGTTGACTGCACCATTCTCCTGCCGGTTGTGGAGAATACAAGGTGGGCCAAAAAAGTCCCAAATTTTAAGTTTAATAACTTGGGCCCCGTTGGGTAAATATCAATTTTTAAAGAAGCAAAATGAAGCTTGTTCAATTTTCTTTCGAATGATATATAATTTTGGGGAGTTTGCGTCAGAGAAATAGCCGCTATTACAGTTTTAAAAAAAAGTGACAAACAATTTCTTGAAGATGGGCTTTTACTTCAAGTTCCTTTTCCTCAACCTCGAATTTATCACTCACACGCTCACTTTTAAGGAGCCAAAAATAGGTCAATGTGCCCCCCTCCACGATCTACAACAGCCTCATGTTACTCGCCTCATGATCGCATGATCTCTCATCAACCAATCCGTTTCATGCAGGGGCGCGTTGGAAAAGGGGGTGCGCGGGAGAAACAGGCGACAGCAGCAGCGCAACACTGGAAAGAACTCAGGAAATTTGTTCACTTCTTTCTAAACTGTAATATCGGCCATTTCTCTCCCGCAACCCCCTCAAAAGTATATATCATTCGAAAGAAAATTAAACAAGCTTCATTTTGCTTTTTTAAAAATGGGCCCAACGCGGCCCATGTTATGAAACTTCAAAGTTGGGGGCGGTTTTTTGGCCCACCCTGTATATATACATATACTATATATATTTCCTTTGCATTCGAGTTGGTCGATGGAATTAGAGGAAGGTGGATGCCCTGACAGATTCGCTGGAATTTTTCACGCCTATCATAGTAGCCAACAGGAAGGAGAAAAATCGCGCGCTCTCGCTCCTCAAATTTGCATGTTATTTGAGGGGAAGGAGAAGAAACAGTCTTCCGAGAAACGGAGATCTGCACCTCCGGTTCTTCGGAGTAAAAAATGTTCTCTTCAGCTTCGCGGAGATTCGAGTTTCGATAGATCCGTGGATGCAGTTGGAACGTCGGACTCGGAGCAACGGGGCCCAATATTTCACGTAGATCCGGGAAGGAACCACCTTTTTTGGGAAACGAATGGGGTTTCTCGTGTGATCGTCATGATGCCCGTGTTGCTGCGCCGCACTCACATGAGTGCTGAAAGCGGCATATTATTCATTGGGAAAGAAAGCAATACTCTAAAAAAAAACTTCAGGTACATTTCCCGAGCAGGCTAGGCTCATCGTAACCCTTTTCTGTCTTCCACTCACAATTTTGCTTTGTTTCACGAGTTCGATCGTGTCCTCTATTGTGTGAGCGAAATACATGTTGAAGAGTACTTCATCTCGTGCTCATCTCATCTCAATTCGCCTCGTCCAATACCCTTCGCTCTCGTCTCCAACCTAAGTGGTGTTCTCTCCACACACTTCTGATTCTGTTCATTCCCCCTGGTATCACCCTTCTTGCACTTGTAGGTCACGTGAATTGAATTGGCTTGTACCGGTCTCGTTCTTCGATCTTCGTCTCCGATCCTTTCCTGCACTCCGCGTCGGCTGCTCAATGGGATCAGCAATTTCGAAAAGAGGCCGGATCGCTTAGAGCATGATAAAAAATCAATTTAAAAAGCAGTATTTTTTATTTAGAAAAGCTAAAGAAAATTTAAAGAAATGTGGAAAAGGCCCCTAGAGCTCCAACTTGAGATGGACGTACTTGTATATGGACATATTTGTGCCCTATATGTTTTTAATAAAGTCCCCATGTATGGCCATATATGAAATCGTGTATAAAGTGTTTATTTGGAACTCCCATTCGGGAAAGCCAGATGGAGTAGCATTCAGGTCACACATCTCTTTCTAAGAAGTACTAGCCATCACTTGCAGAAGCCTTTGAAGGTTGGAGGCAGTCAGAAGTGTGTTGATTTGGTGCCGTGGTCCTCCACCTCTCCATGCTGTCATCGTTGCACCGATCCGGACTAAAGAGCACGGACTCGTCCCATCAAAATATACTTTCGTGAATCGAACGAGTACTTTAAGTACCGCAAAGCTTAGTGGAAATCCACCGACTGTCCTGGAACAACCACTTCTGAAATGATTCCAACAAATATTCGATCGTGGGATAACTTATGATGAGCCAAGGCTTCTTTCATATCACCAGGGTGATGTGGGCCATGTTGATACTGAAATAGTGATTCAGGCAATGATCATGGTCTTTATTACAGGAGTAGAATATCGACGGGCACAAGACAAGTTTATTGAATTGCATGCACAATTGAGCAAGAATGAGGTAGCTTGCTTCCAGTCATCTGGTTGAGCAGGAATAAAAGTAGATCCTAAACCATGTACCAAAGAAGAAAAAATATTCACAAATGTAAAATATATCGATACATAAAAAATGAAATGAGATCAGATCAGTTTTGTACAGAACCGACAGGAGAGGAGAAGGTAAGAGTGAGGTCACAGTGCGACATGTCTATTACGGGAATTCCCTAACATGAAATTTCTTTGTGACTCCGATAAGTTCATTTTGAAAATGGGGGATTTCGAGGAGGCGTGGAATTGTATTTTCAGGAGCATCAGCATTGCCGAAATTTCGATATTGATCAACGGATTTTCCAGACCCGAGTTATTCGTAAAGTTTTCATGAAGGACGACGAAGGAAAGAGGTGATAGATGAAGACGATAAGGTAGCACATAGGAAGCACATAGAAATGAGGAAGCGGAGCTTGAGGGGCGTGAAGGGAAGGCTCAATCCAGAAACTCCTTCCTGAGAAAAAATTTTATTCGGCCCCTGTCTCAAGAATAATAAATTGCATTCTTCTTGCCAATTTTGTTCAGAGCTGCTTCTACTTTTTCTCTCCAGAAGGAAGAGAACAAGAAGGGTGGTCGAAAGATAACGATCGAGAAGCTACATAAAGAAACTACATAGCAAAGCTATTGACGCGCTCCTAGAAATTTCCTATCTTTCATATAGGTATGCATCCAACGAGTTTCCCATGTTTACATATTTCGTGATAAACGACGGAGGATTCATTCGATTATCTCATCAGAACCCGGTCTGAAGTGGATTGTTCTCCTGGATCGGGAGGGAATTCCAGAAGGTCTTCCTCTTCTCACCGATGTTTCCCAATTCCACGATCGGCTGGGCATCAATTATGTAGGTGTAGGGCTTCTTTTCTGTGTACAGAGGCCAGCTGGGCAGCTCCACCTCCTTTCCCTTCGGCGTTGGATCCCTATAACATATTCCCATTTCGAGAATGATTGATTCTCTGTCTCACCCTGTAAACAACGAAATAGAAGCGAGGATGGCATTCGAAGCCGCTTTCTTCTCTCTTACAAGTAGGTTGCAAAGTCGGTCCATAGTCGAACGAAGGCGTTCTTTATGGCGAAAGCCATGGGTTCCATGGTCGTGATGGGAGGAATCATCTTGGCGTCGAAAAGATACAAGAGATCGTCTCCATGCCCCACACCTGAAAGAATACAGGGCGGTTCATACGTACCCTTAACATGCATAATTACAGATCACATGGCAGCATGTTAGAAAATAAGAACATTAGTAAGGTTTTCTCCCGAATAGGCGACTTCTCTAAAAGAACGTGCAACTATGTCTACGGCATTAAAGTGGTGCGCATGTACCTGCATGCGCTTCCGCCGATTTGTTGAGTAGGAACTGGCGAGGACCGGCAAAGAGGACATCCAGGAATTTCCTCTTTCCGTTTCCTTTGAAGTAATAGAAGTACGTCGGTGAAAATCGAGAATGAAGATCTGCAGCCTCCACTCCGCAGACTTTGAACCATCGATCTCCGAAAACCTTCATCGTAAAGGAAGACAGTTTCTAAAGGGATCTGGTGACACCTGGTTATGGCATCGTCATGCGTTCGCACAGATACCTCGATGAGCTGAGAGGCATTGTCTTGAGAGATGTTCTTGCCCCGGAAGTATCTGGTCTTGATTTGATTGCAGGCACTCCTTCGATCACATCGAACAGGTGTCGTGAATGAGAAATCCATAGCCAACGGGCACAACGCTTCCCATCGTTCGTTCAGGTCCTTTAATGCCGTCTCGTTTCCCAAAGGAGCTGGGAAAATTTGTGGAATATTAAATCCATACCAAGGGCTCTACCATTCCTTCGAATAGTCAAACCACTGAGGAATCGTCAACATAGATTATTTACTTAATGCGAGGAGGACTCCTTCATCCTTATTAATTCCAGTGAGCCATGGAACTCGTGAGAAACATCCTTCCAACATCATATTGATAGGTTCATCGGGCAAAACTGGACCGTCCGTTTCTCTGTCCACACGGGGCCCAAACAACAATGGGAAATATTGCCACTCCTGCAAGGAGGAAAATAACCAGTGACTCGACGTCTCCCAAATTGATCGAGTTAATAATTCGATATAGGAGGTAAAGGTAGGTAAAAAGGTTGGGAGGACGAGGGCAAACACTTCCTTCTTCATCGCATCGTCACCCATCACTATCAATTTCATCGGCTAATTTCACACTTTCGAAATAATTATGTTCTTGAGTGCTTATTTTTTCGTACTGCGAGCACGCGTGTCAGCACGTCGAACTTTACCGTAATCGATTCCATGCTGCGAAAGCCGATCGTACAATTCTCATACTCCAGCACACATTCGTACAGACGTACATTCACAGCGACATATGGAAAGTTCATGTTTGACTTTCCCCCCCCCCCTCCCAAGTTTACGCATGGAAAAAAGAGATTACCCAGAGTTTGGTGGAGAGGCCGACGATAGCTTCGGCGGGAACTTGTTGCAGGCATAGGAGCAAATCAGCCGAGGACATCGTGGGACAGCCTAAGATGGAAGCGATGCCCTCCGCGCCTCGTCGATGTCCCTCTGCCACTGCCCAAGGACACAACGCCGAGCCGCTCTCGGATATCGCTGCTCGGAACAGACCTGGATGGAAAGGGCAGTCCAGGAAGGCAACGAGATGGATGCAGTGAGAGATTTCCTACTGAATCGGGTACCTCGGGCCCTCGGAGACAGGATGAGATGATGAACGGCACCGGCCCCTGCACTCTCTCCCATGATGGTCACGGCTCGAGGATCTCCTCCGAAATGCCGAATGTTCTGCTGGACCCACTGCAAGGCGGCGATCATGTCCAACAGTCCCATGTTCCCTGGCATCACCTTGTCTTCCGTCGACATGAAACCTGCCGGTACGCACATGCAACACCTGCATTTTGTCTTCCGGTTAAAAACATACCGGTCGAAAAGGGAAAATGAGAGAAACCAAGAGGGCCGAGTCGATAGTTGAAGGTGACGAGGACGACGTCTTCGTCCATGAAGTAGCCGGGAGAGTAGAAAAGAGAGTTTGATGAGCCCGAAATGAATCCTCCGCCATGAATGAAGAAGATCACTGGCAAGTTCTCCGTTTCATTTGTCTGCCCACCATAGGCACGATAAAACACTCTTAGTTGACACGATACGGTCATGACACTATAATCATCAACTGGGCGCCGTCTGACCCTTTAAAATCGAATGCCTCCGCATAAGATGCGGTCATGCCTTAAATCCCCCCCCCTCCCCCCAGGCACGATAGCTATAGTCAGCTACTTGTTAGAAACTTAAGATTTCATAATAATAGCAACTCTATCAATAGAACATATATATAGGCATTGTAAATCGATCGCGTTTCTCGACGCAGCAAGTTGCCCAAGCAGCACACCACGTTGGGGCCACATTGACTACACTGTTAGCAAAAAGGGTTCAGGGAATATATTTTTTAGGGTTAAATAGAAAAAAAGGTTAGATGTCGGTACAACATTATCCTAAATTATATTTACAGTAGATGTTTATTGAACCTCCTTTGAATCGTTCGAATCGTTTGAATTATTCGTTTCGATCTGGAGAGTTTGATATTCAACCCTTCATAGGAATCGGATGCTACCAAACAGGGTTCAGATTTTAACCTTTTCAGGGTTAAACAGAAGAAAAGGTATAGTTGACAGTGAAACACCATTTACAAGGGTTATTTGTGTAAAGTTCCCCTTGTGACCACTAGATGGGGTTATGGAGTGACCATTTCCCATAGAACATAGAATAGCCCTTCCCTCTTTCCTAGGAATCTCCCTTAAATGTACTTTATGTCACCTTGTCCTGTGTCTCGCCTTGCCTCATTATAAGTAGTAATGAAAGCAGACACTTCCTCATTTATTATTTCCAATTTCGAGACAGATTTCTGGTTATTAGACAAAATGAAGCTTGTCTTTCCAAACAGGAGCCCTTACATAATGATTAATTATCTCTGTCCACCACCAGAAATCTAAATCTTATAAAGAAAATAAGTATTACTGAAATCATTCCTTGACATCTTCTGCCCAAGACTGACTGATGAAATTGGGATCTGACATTTATGACACTCAATTGGGTTAGAGGAAACCCTTTCACCTTTAAGATGACGCGTACCAGGAAGGTTACAGATTAATTCAGCTAGGTTAATTATTTAACTTCTTAAAAGTATACTTTAACTAACCTATCAAAAAGGCTAAATATGTAACCCGCAATGGATAAATACGAGTTGCAGTTGATACACCCTTTAGGGCAGCGATTCCCAGACTTCTTTGTGTCGCAACACACTTGCTGACGTACAGAAAATTTCGCGACCCACCGGAATCCAGAACGAGGTATTTTCAAAGTAATAATGACGTGAAGAAAACTGATAGACCTTTTCTGCGGGGCATGTTTTATCCTGAACCGATGCGGATATTGTGATTTTTTATACTGGGAAAATGTACGCGACCCACCTTGATGCCTCACGCGATCCACCAGTGGGCCGCGACCCACAGTTTGGGAACCGCTGCTTTAGGGGATAAAAGCTGAACCATTTTCGCTAACAGTGTATATGCGTGGCCTGGGTCAGATGGATTACTTCGAGCATACGAATGCTGCATTTGCTGAGCCATTTCAAGTCGCGATTCGGCATAGTAAAATTAAGTCTTTGCTAAATTAAGATTTGCGTTCGCTCGCATTTTCTTGCTTTTCTTCCCCCCAGCGTTTCGTTACATGACCAAAGGTTTTCAGGAATGCTGAATCATTATAAGAAAGGCTAAACATGGCTGGGAAGGGATAAATGTTTCATGTCTGAAGTGAACCGTGAACCTTAATGACTCCATAAATCTGTTGAATCATTAATTACTGGTATTTTGTGAATCGGCTAAGAATTTCACGAAATTATGAATGATATGATTTTTCTATGACGCCAAATCTGAAATTTTTTTTTTTTCCACTTCCGTCCTCTCGCTTCACTTCATTAACAAATTTATATTTCTTTTATTCAGTCATTCGCATATTGAGGAGCTGATTACGCCGACATAAGCTAGAAGATATTGCGATCTTCTGATGGCAAATGCTCATTGGACCGTAATAATATTCTCGCCCTTCCCAGCAAAAAATGGTCTCTGCATCCGACAAGCGAAGCTCTCTTTCGAGAATAAGGATGTTCCCCATCAGGGAATGAAAGACTTATTAGACCGCCTTCCTCCTCTCAAAATTCAATATTAGAAAAAAAGATGAATTTGAGCCAGAATTCCTCCACTCCCTTGTCGTTAACTTATGAGAGGGAGAGTATTAACTGGAGGCCGAGATGAATGTGCAGCGTAATATCATCTCCTTTGGCCAAGTGAATGAAAGTTAAAGACAAACGACCCGCGAAGAATGTCGTTTCGCGAGCCGACGGGAAGAGCGAGTCGTTTCTCCATGAGTCAAGACGACGAAACCGAAGCATGCGAATATATTCACCGAAAATCGGTACGGAAAACGATGGAAGGACTCACGATTGGGGTGAAAACATTGAGGTAGAGGCAGTCCTCCCGTCCCGTTATGTTCAACGTGACGAGGACATCCATCTGAAGGCATTCGGCTCCGTCACGGAACGCTTCCAATTTTTCTCCCCACGATTCCAGCCGTTCTGGAGGCTGCAGGATCGACGATAATCTTTAGTCACGTGATTTCTTCTGGGTTCGTTTCGAGGTTCAAGGTTCGGGTAGGGTTGCCGAAAGATACATTTGCCAATTACGACTGATCTCCAATCTAAATTAATGCTCTGATCAGTCCTTCATGGAACCCCATTCCGGATGCACAAATACAAAAGTTTTTCCATTACAAAAAAACGCATGGGCTTTGAGGACTACAAAAGGAACGAAGGATGCGCCCTCCGTCTAATGGCCAACTCTTTACGCTTTACGGAAGACTAAATTCGTCTCTGGGAATTTCTATATCGGAGTCAAGCGATCAGTTGCATTCTTTCACTAGGAGGGTTTCTCTTGTTGAAAGTATCATTGATATTCAATAGGATTTCGAGATGCTGCAGCCGGGCGCATTACCGTGGAAAGTCAAGAGATTTTTGGCTCACAAATGAACTGGAAGGTAGAATGGTCTATTTGCAAAAAAAAAAAGTGATGGTTAAACTAACGCACATAGATCCTTTTTCCTTCCTTTGAAGATTACAATTCGCAACCTTGGTAAAAGCAAGAAACTTACCTATCGACATATTCCACTTTTCCTCGCTTTTAATAAGACAGTCGCTGGAATACTCATTCTTTCCCTTTCAAGGTTAAATAAATATTTTTTTTGTAGATAGACCAGTTTTCTTTTCAGTCCTTCAATACCATGCAGTAAATATTTCAGATTCGTATTCCCTTTTCGATTCTTTCCAAATCCCCCCCCCCCCCCTGTTTGTTAGCATAGAAGAAACCAGGAGTTAGGAGAGGAATGGAAGACAGACCATGAAACGTCTGCTGCCCGTGGGTGGCTTGGCATAAGGGATTCCTCTGAACGCAGCGTATGGTTTCCCTCCAACAGATTTCTCTGAGAGTCCAATGACCGTTCCCAGAGGTGACGTGACGAGGACCTTCTGTCCCATCACATCAAACATCACCATTCCCCCCCACGTGAAGATGGCGAACCAGAACATCCCGCTTCCTCTCGCTCCCATCGTCCTCCACCTATTATGAAGGGCAGAACACGGAAAACGGGTACTTATAGGGCTTAGGGACCCCAAAGGACGAGCAGGACATCCACGTGGAAGAGGAGGTTGCACGTGGAAAGTCTCGCCTTGGTTTTTCAAGGGCAGACAGACCCGAGGAATCCAGCATTCCCCACCCCGACATTTAGGTTCAACCTTCAAAGGGAAAAACAAATTCCTTCGGAATCTACCTTCGGAAGCACGAAGACATGCGCTTGTATCGTGCCTTGGGCTTCGCAGAATCACGTCATAAACATGTTTACCCGAGAGAGGTTGAGGGAGACATGTACTGAATCTGTTTACCACCAGAGCGAGCACATTTCCCGATGACTATGGGAATGAGATTAACCAATAGACTATTTGAATAACCAATGAGATTATCACACAAACGCAAAGGAATGGATCTTCAGAGACGGAGAAACATATTAGTCCTAATTTCCGCCTCTTGGGGTATCTAGTTCCTAACTAAGAGGATGTCACAAAACGCTGACGAACGTAAGAAAAATGCAAAGACGCTTTTAACGCGAGAACGGCTCGTCGATTTGGCTACAGAAGGCATTAATAGAACGAACTCCTTCCAACTCCTCCTCTTTCCTTCGCATTGCGTTCCTTCCTCAACATCGTCGATCTTTTCGTCACGTTTCTCGCTCCGTAGACAATGAACGCAACGAGATGCGTAAACTAGTAAATGTTACGTGCAGAAATGCAGTAGGAATGTAGAGTTTGCGGAAACGTCTGAAAATGTGAAAAACACCCTTGACTCACTCATTCGTGCGGAGAAATGTGAATACGTGAACTTATATTTAATAGGACCTCAACCACTTATGCAAACACATTTTTCCAAACCATAAGTGGTTTTGAAAATGAACTCGATAGGATCGCAGCTCGACCAGATCCAGGGGTATTTTCCAGCGCTCGCGATCCCGGGACAACGAACTGGAGCTCGGCCGGTGGCATATCGAGCCTAGAGTGACAAGGATTCGCGATGTGGTCCGTCCACCTTGCACGAGACCTACCGTACCGGTCTCTTCCCGGTCGTTTTAGATCGAAGGACTTTCTTTCCTTTGGAGTCTCTCTTTCTCGGCATGCGGGGGACGAATCGGAACCAACGGACCTGGGATCTCTCGATCCGAATGCGTGGCTCCGAGGCCTGGAGGTTCCCTCAGTTTTCGGCACTCCGCATCCTCTCGCTAGGCGTGACACCGACCACCCGCCGCAAGAACCTCATCGAGGCTGCTCGTATCCGCGACCTCATCCTTTCGATCGTCACCCACAGTTCCCGGCCGTAGGCGAGGATGGGGATGTAAACGCTCTAAACGGATGTAAACGAAAGTCTCGCCTCCTCGGAAATTTCAGATCCGATAGCCAGAGTCCTACGGAGTTCACGCAAAACGACGGAGATGCGGTCGTCGATCTCGTTTTCGTATCGCCCGTCTTAAACTTCTCCACCCGTTCCAGTGGGCCTTTTTGGGGCAAATTTTGAAGAAGTTATCGTGCAGGAATCTCATGGGAACGTTATGGACGCATAATTGTATACTTATCTATAAATTTGTAATGTAAAAAATACATGTAGTGATCCTTAAAAGCGATTATCAGTGTTCTAATAGGTAATACTAATACTTGTAATATTAATCATTTTTGTGAAAGCAGAAAACTCGTTTCTTTTCCATGTTTGAGGCGCATGCCACCTTCACATCTTTCACGAGTAATCTAAAGAGAATTAAATAAAAGTTCGCTGTATAGAACGGCATATTTTCAAAACTGGTAATTGCTGGCTATAAAGGGCAAGGGCATATTTCATTCTAAAGTAAATATTCTGTTTGATACAGCATTCCTTTCCGCAGAAAGAAATGTTGCCGGCCGGCATGCTCCCCTTCTCTCTAGTGCAAATCATCCTATTCTGCGACCACCTAGAATATTGTAAGGGTCGATGATAACTCGTTTCGACAGCTCGCAGTTTGCTGACGTCGTGGCTCGATCGAGGAGAAGTTCCGGAGAAAGAAACCGCTATATCGGCCTCAAAATGCGCGGGGAGAATTGCGAAAAGTTACGTCGTGCTTCGTCATCCAGTACACACTGAGCAGAAGATGCAAACCGGCAAATGATATGCGAGGCAAAGGACGGGTCGAGCTTCTTGATTTAATCTTGATAAGTCGAGCAAAATACTTTAGCTGAAAGAGGCCGAAAGTTGTGGTGGCTGTCACTCCTAAGGCGAGAGGCCTGCAACTCTGTGCCATTCCAGGCCATCCACGGCCGAAAGCGCCAGGCCTACAAGACTCTGCCATTCTTGGCCATTGGCTAGGCCATAAAAAATTTGGTCTGAGCCGAACTGCTTCAATTCTTTATGAAAATATTTCCAAATTTCCGCCCATTATACGGCCAACGTAGCGGCCGCAGGCCGCTACGTTGTTAAGTTTGGAATATCTGGTACAATATACAATATATCTGGTACAATACGTTGGTAAGTTTGGAATATCTAGGATTTAGGATCTAACTGGAAGACATGAAGCAGAATCCGGCTGGAGATGAACTTACGGAATCCAAGACGAGAGATGAGAATTTCCGTGACGAGAGTCCAAAGAGAGGAACAGAAAAAAAGAGTGCGAGGTGAGACAAAAAAACCCTTACTTTTATATCCAAGGGAGGGGGAGGGGACGAGGGGCAGGGGCAGGGGGTGAGGGGGGGGGGGGGGCGAGGGCGGGGGAGGGGAGGGGGGGGGGACAAAGAGGGAGGTGCAGACGAAAAAAAAATTGGGAATGGTCCACTTGCCCTTGGAATCCAGACAAGGTCCACCCTAGAAGGTTTTTTATGTTCGTCCTCTCATTACAGTCGATTATACCCTGTTGTCAAGGGGGTCAACATGGTATACTAAGTAACAGTATTTTTTTAAAAAAAAAGGAGAGAAGGGGGGGGGGCTCTTCTCTCTTTTTTTTTAAAATTTATTTTATAGGGCCCCCTTACGGTGGTTCTTTCCAGCCCCACTCCATGGGACCGACCTTCCTCAAGGAGACCAAAATAAAAAAAAGGGGGGGGAAAAAACTCGGAATGCACTCGGTACACCTACCATCGCAGAATGAGACCCACGTGGAACTTGTTCACTCGTCTTCTCTCTTATTCGACTCTTCGAAATTTCAGCTGTAAAACCTTCTCTTGGCCCTCATGTTATTCGGCGAGTGCCAATGCCATCATCTAGCGATAAAAAACCAGAGTGCATCCAGGATGATCCGATCGAAATAGTTACCGTCCATCGAGTCGTCTATGATAGAGGAGAAGCGAAACATTCCCGTCGCGGAACAGCGCAGCGCCGACCGTCGGCATCACCGATATGAAGTAGTCAAGCTTCTACTCGTGCATCGGCACGAGGACGAGAGAGCGCGGTATCAGGCGCCCCAGTAATACGTGGAGTGCGAAAATAGGCTTCGAGCTGCCTTCGTCGGCTTTCCTCTCTTCCCGTGCGTCTCTCATCGTTCGTTTTTGCCACGAGAGACGAAGGAGTGAAATTCTGATCGCGATCGCATCTTCTTTGCCTTCTTTCATGGAAGAAAGGGAGGAAAGCTGGGAAACGCAGACGGCAAGCGAGCAGCCTCGAGCCGATCTTCAAATCCCATGCATTCTTGCGGATCCGAACCCAGCGCACTCTCGTCGAAAACACGGAGATCCCCCAGTAGCACATAACATTGAATCAACATGGATTCAATGTTGATTCAACATCCGGATGTTGAATCAATGTTGTTTCAATGCTATGTGCTACTAGGGTCGGTACGCCGGCCGAGCACACGGTTCCTTTCGGATCGGGAATGGCCTCATCCACCGCGATGGAGCCGTCGAGGGAATGAAGGGTCGGGTGGTGGTTCCTCGTCTACGAGCACCTAAAAACATCCACTTCGCCATTCTGCTCCTCAAACGCTGCTACCCTGAGAAGGGTATTATTTTGGACCCCTTTCATATTCATGCATCGGATAGATCTCAGATCGCCGAGTCAAAATATATACACGACTCAGCCTGTTTCGTTCCATTACCGAGTTATAAGCTCCGAATAATTCGAGACGGTAATTACCAATTAACGGACGATGAGGCCAAAATCCCTTGAATATATGTATAGTTGGAAAGTTGTAGAACTCGATCCCCTGGAAGGAGGAAGCCATTACTCGGCGGTGGGGAGGCAAGAGGCATGGATCTCCAGTTCCTGATCGGGGTCATCCCGGGTCATTAGTGGGTCATTCCTTCCTTCTCTCCGCAATGCCAAAAAAGGAAAATCGTGGACCCAGCTGAAATGGTGATTTCAGCGGCAGAGGTGGACAGCCGACCCCTGCGGCACATATTAGGGCTACCGGGGCACTAATAGTGGTAGTCAATCGAGGCGAAATAATACTTAAGATAGTTACAACTCTCCCGTCCATCTGGATGGCACCAGCACAGTGTTAATTAAATTTTCTCCTTTTTCATTTTTTGTCTTACGTTTCTGCTCCTTTCGGGTTCATTTCTCACGTGACGAGGAGCACAAAATTATATTTTTTGGCTAAAAACCCCCCAAAAAACTTGAAAAAGTTCGTTCTTATAATGATCCCTTTTCCTTGAGACACCTTGAAAAATATTGAATTTCGTAAGTAAAAAAAAGTCCCTACAGGGGAGGCATATTCTCACCAAATCAAAGTCTTGTAATTCCTGTACTAATAATTTCTCATAAATCGACTGAATCTCAAATGAAACACCAAGACTCACAGTATCAGATATTTTCTATATGTCCCCCTTCTTCCTGACAGCAGCCAGCAATCTTCGAGTCTCCCATCAAATTAAGCAAGATGGACAGGTGCTAGGACAAAATGTCGCCAGGACACAATGTCGCGGGAAAAATGTATTGGACTAATGTTAACGAGACATACTATCGCTTGGCAAAATATTCGCCTTACGTAATTAAAGATGCGCGATAGTGCTAACGATCATGTTGAAATCGTGCGTAGAGAGTAGAAACGGATCCAAGTGTGACCCCCTAGCATTTTAGAAGAATCCTGTCAAACATACCGCTAAG